ATTACCTATAAATCTGAATTCTAGTTATCATTCTAAATTAGTAGTTTTTTTTTTTACATTATTCTTCACTTTGTATGTTTTTTCACCTCAGTTGTAATCCCCATGGACTTCCTACCACCACTTTCATCATAGTCTTACATGCTCTTCCCATGCCCGTTTTGATCTTTTTCCCCTCTCCTCCCCTGTAGAATGTCTCTGGTTTATTGTGATTAGCTGATGTTCATTTTATGGTATTACAACTACTCTCTCTATATATATATGATTAGTTTTGTTTTTCCTGATACCTCACATTCCTATTATGAATGAAGCCATCCAGTATTTCTTTTTTCTTTCTGGCTTATTTCACTGAGCATAAACTTTTCCAGTTCTGTCCATGTTGCCACAAATGGCATGAGTTTATCTTTTTAGATTGCTGACTGTGGAAATTTTCGCACATAATATGAATGATAAAGGACTAATCACAAAGATATACAAAGAACTGATGAAACTCAACAAATATAAAATGAATTACACCATCAAAACATGGGCAGAAGAACTACAAAGACAGTTCTCCAAAGAGGAAATCCAGATGGCCAATTGGCATATGAAAAAATGTTCAGCATTAATTGTAATAGGGAAATGCAAGTGAAAGCCACAATAAGATACCGCCTCACAGCAGTGAGAATGGCACATTTTTTTAAATAATATAATAGTTTATTTTTACATAATTTTGTATTTTTTTTCATCTCAATTGTAATCCCTGTGGGTTTCCCATCATGGAGTCACCCATGTGCCATCACCATAGTCCCATGCAATCCCCCCACCCGTTTTTGATCCCATTCCCCACTCCACCCCTCAAAATGTCTCTGGTATATGGCTGTTCATTATTCTTATTATTTTCTTGCCTGGTCCATTATACTCCTGCTATGAGCGATACCATCCAGTATTTTTCTTTCTCTTTCTGGCTTATCTCACTAAGCATGACCTTTTCCAGCTGAATGACACATACTTTTTTTTTTAAGATTTATTTATTTATTCATACAGAACTGGGGTACAGGCCAGAGATGCGGAGGGTGAGAGGCTTCACCAGAGACAGAGTGGGGAGCAGAACAGGCAGATCGACGAAGTATACTGCTGAGAGGAGCAGCGGGCGGGTCAGGAGAGGTCTGCCACACCATGTGGTCACCTCCGGGGCAGGCGGGAATCGAACTCATGCAGAAGTGGCTTTAGCTTCTTAGTGCAGTGCTTTAACCCGCTGCGCCACCAGGGAGGGCCTGAATGACACATATTTTTTAAAAAAGCAACAACAAATGTTGGCAATGTTGTAGAAAAAAATGAACTCTCCTACACAGCTGTGGAAATGCAAACAGGTACAACCACTATGGAAAGCTGTGTGGAAATTTCTAAACTAGTAGTTTCTATCCTCATTGAAATATAAAATTGTTATCCATTAAAACTGTTAATAGAATTTGGAAATTTATAAAAATAAATATGCATTATCCAGAACAGGATCAAAATCTTATTGTACTAGGCAAACCACCACAAGAATATTATACTTAGCTCTGGATATCAAATTTTAAAAAGAGAGATTCACAAAATGAAGATTCCTAAATAATGTCAAAAGAAAATAAATTACCTTGCATTAAATAAGAAACAAAGCTTCAAAGAACATCCATCCTTACCAAAAAAGACTAAAATTTAGATTGAAAATAAGTCATTGGGAAAAGATAGATAAATTTAGGTCCATTTAAGAAGGAAACTTCAAGAAACAGTATTGTCTGCTATTGAAACAAAAAGACCTAACAACTCTGGGTTCTATATCACAAAATGCATTCAAGTAGAGAGAGAGAGAGAGAGATCACACACAATTTTAAGACAGTCTTTCCTGAAATAGAAGTTATTAAAGCAATCTGAAATCAAAATCCAATAAAACCAAAAGCGATTCTTTGAAAAAGTAAAATTAAAAATAGACAAAACTCTACCCAAACTCACAAGAAAAACTGGAGAAGGCAAAAGAGGATCATAAATGAAAGAGAGAAATCACAACAGATACAGCAGAAATCAAAAGAATAATCAAAGAATAATATGAACAGCTATATGCAAACAAGTTCAACAATCTAGAACAGATGGACAAATTCTACAACTCTACAATCATCCAAAGCTAGATTAAAAAAAAAAAGAAATAGAATTACTATACGGACCAAATACAAAGAGTGAGATTGAAGCAGTAATTAAAACCCTCTCCAAGAATAAAAGCCCAGAACCAGATGGATTTATAAATGAATTTTACCAAACATTCAGAAACGAACTAGTGCCTATTTTACACAAACTCATTCAAAAAATCAAGAAAGAAAGAAAACTACCAAATACTTTTTTTGAAGCAAATATCACACTAATATCAAAACCATAAAAGACAACAACAACAAAAAAAGAAAACATCAGATCAATCACCCTAATGAACACTGATGCAAACACCCTCAACAAAATGTTAGCCTAAAGAATCCATCAATGCATTGAAAGAATAACACACTATGACCAACTGGGCTTTATCCCAGGAGCACAAGGGATTAACATAATCCATCACATCAACCAACAGAAAAATAAAAAACTTATAATCATATAAATAGATACAGAAAGGCATTCAATAGAATTCAACATCCATTCATGCTTAAAGTCTTCAGAGTTCTCAGTATAGAAGGAACATACCTCAACATGATACAAGCCATATATGACAAACCCAGAGCCAATATTATCTTCGATGGAGTAAAGATGAAAGGATGTCCACTGTCACCACTGCTCATCAATATAACACTGGAAGTCCTAGCCTGAGTGAAAAGATAAGAAAAAGACATACGAGCAATCCAAACAGGGAAAGAAGAAGTAAAACTATCTCTATTTGCAGATGATATGATAATGTACATGGAACAACCTAAAACCTCCATGGAGAAACTATTCAAAATAATTAATCAGTTTAGTAAAGTAGCAGGATATAAAGTGAACACACAAAAGTCAGTGGCCTTCCTATACACACACACACAGACAAAAAAAATCAGAAGTAGAAATTTTAAAAATCCTTGTTGCAATTGAAACAAAAAGGATCAAATACCTGGGAATAAACCTAACAACAGAGATAAAAGATCTATACAAAGAAAATTGTAAATTACTATTAAGAGAAATACAAAAAGACACAAAGAAATGGAAAGACATCTCATGTTCATGGATTGAAAGAATTAACATTGTTAAAATGGCCATCTTATCAAAAAGTGATATACAGATTTAATGCTATTCCAATGAAAGTTCCAAAGACAGTCTTCAAAGAAATAGAACAAATATTGATGATATTTATATGGAATCACAAAAAAAAACCTCAAATAGCTAAAATTCTCCTGACTAATACTTAAGAGAACAGAGGCATTTCAGTCCCAGACTTCAAGCTATTCTACAAAGCCATAACAATCAAAACTGCTTAGCACTGGAACATACACAGACACACAGACCAGTGGATTGGAATAGAAATCCCAGATATAAACCCACATGTTATGGACAGCTAGTCTTTGACAAAGGAGCAAAGAGTGTGCAGTGGGACAAAGAAATTTTGTTCAACAAATGGTGCTGGGAAAACTGGGCTGCTATATGCAAAACAATGAAGCTACCTCCCACTACCCCACACCATGTACCAGAACCAACTCTAAGTGGGTAGAGAACTAGACATAAGACCTAAAACCATAAAATATCAGAAAGAAAATGTGGGCAAAACACTATACAACATATACCTCAGTAACATATTAAAAGATGCAATGCCCAAAGCAAGGATAGTGAAGAAAAGTATAAACAGCTGAGACTCTATCATGTTAAAGAGCTTCTGAACAGCAAGAGACATTACAAAAAATAGACTAGCTGGGAGAAAGTTTTCTCACACAATACTAATGATAAAGTATTGATCACAAAGATATACTAAAAGCTGATGAAACTCAACAAAATTAAAGTGAATAACCCCATCAAAAAATGGGCAGAAGAGCTAAAGAGACACTTCTCCAAAGAGGAAATGCAGTCAGCCAAAAGACATGAAAAAATGTTCAACATCACTTATAATAAGGGAGATGCAAATTAAAACCACAATGAGATGCTATCTCACACCAGTGAGAGCGGCACATATTAAAACAACAAGCAACAACAAGTGTTGGTGAGGGTGTGGAATAAAAGGAACGCTCTTACACTGCTGGTGGAAAAGCAAACTGGTACAACCACTATGGAAAGCTGTTTGGTGGTATCTCAAACTGCTAAAAATGGAGCTTCCATATGATCCAAAATTGCACTCCTAGACTCCTATGTATCTATCCAAAAGACACAAAAGCATTGATTCAAAAGGACAATTGCACCCCTATGTTTGCTGCTGCTCTATTTACAGTATGGGAGATGTAAAATCAGCCCAAATGCCCAAAAGTTGATGACTGAATTAAAACGATGTGGTGCATTTACACCATAGAATATTACTCAGCAATCAAAAAGGATAAACTCATGCATTTTGCAGCAGCATGGATGGAGCTGGAAGGGATCATACTTACTGAAATAGCCAGAAAGAAAAAGAAAAATATCGGATGGGTTCACTCATAGCAGGAGTGTAAGGGATCACGGAAACAAGCAAACAAACAAACAAAAAAAAATGTAATGGAAAAATGAAAAACAATGAACTGTATACCAGAGACATATTATAGGAGTGAAGAGGAAAGGGGAATATGGTATCAAAAATGGGGTTGGAAAGGTGCAGTAGACTATGGTGATTGCATACAGGTAAAATGGTGATAGAAAGTCCATGGTGATTATACCCAAGATGGAAAAATGCACAAAATAAAGACTGATGTAAAAAATAAATAAGTAAACAATCTTTCCATATCTTTCCATAATATTAGTTGAGTAACAACTACCAGACATAGTAGTCTAAGAGTATGCTAAATCCATGATAGTAAGTTTCAGTGAACTAAAATCTATACAGCAGATAAAATAGCTAATTATTTACTTACTTTTTTTTCCTCCTGGATTATTATTACTTCATAAAATCGTGGAAGATATGAACAATAATCTTGCTTTTGATCTTTCTTGATGTTAATGTTTTCATAACGTGGCACCTTTTTCCTTTAGAAAATTCATACAGAATTGAGACATTATCAATTTCAAATATATAAATCTTCATATAATAAAAAAACAACTTTACATCAACATTTTCTATTTCAAAAGTAAACAATAAGAACATCTAAGAGCATAAAATGAATCATGTATGTTAGTTACTTCTGCAATTTTAATTCAGAATATTATAATAAGTCTAATATAATAATGACTCCAACAGAAAATACAGGATGTGGAATTTATGTCATTGAGTTTAAATTAAAAACTACCAAATAAAGGTCCCTATGTTTTTCTTATTTCATTTAGCATGACTTTTTCCAGTTCCATCCATGTTGCTACAAAAGGCATGAGTTTATCTTTTCTGATTGCTGTCTAACATTCCCATTGTGTGTATATTTCTACTTATATTTATTTATATAGGTATGTGTGTGTGTGTGTATACTGGTTTTACTCATAGTACTCATAGAAGGTTAAGGGATCAGGAAAAAAATATATATATACACATATGTATATGTGTGTGTAATTGTAATAAAGCAAAAAAGAACAGTAATTGTAATAATGTAGAAAAGAACATCAACTAACAACTATAAACCAGAGACATTCTATGGAGGAAGAGAAGGGAACAAGATCTAACAGAGTGAAAAGAGCACATGGGACTATGGTGATGGCAAATGGGTGAAGTGGTAGATGTACGTCCACAGGAATTACAGCTGACATGAAAAAAAATGTACAAAATGAAGAATAATGTGAAAGATATATTTCTAAAATAAAAAAAATGAAAGAAAAAAGTTTCTTGTGTATCTATTCACCAAAAAATATAATTAAATTCCAAATCCTTTATTATTTCAACTGTGATTAAAGTAAGGAGAAAATAACCCTATGTAGTTTATACCAGAAAACAATCAGAAAAAAAAAGCATAAATAGGTAATTGAAGATGAAAATAAAACTTATTTTCATTGAAATTTAACAACTTCAAAAAAGCAGTAATTAAGAGCTCAAGCTTTGTAGTCACATGCTAATCCTAGCATTTTGATCTACTAGCAGAGTGATAAGAGATCACCTAACTTTTTTAAGCTCCATACTAGATTATTTATTTGTTATTGGAAATAGCAATAACCAATTCACAAAGGAGATAATAATAAATATTGTACTTAGTGCCATATAAGGCCCATATGAATGTAAAATACCTTCTAGCTATGCTGAAAAAAAATACATTCAATTGGCCCTCCCTGGTGGTGCAGCGGGATAAAGCACAGCACTGAGAAGCTAAAGCCACTTCCGCATGAGTTCGATTCTCGCCTGCCCCAGAGGTGACCACATGGCATGGCAGACCTCTCCTGACCCGCCTCCTGACCCGCCCGCTGCTCCCCTCAGCAGTGTACTTCATCGATCTGCCTGTTCTGCTCCCCGCTCTGTCTCTGGTGAAACCTCTCGCCACCCCTGAGCCTCTGGCCTGTACCCCAGTTCTGTATGTACAAATAAATAAATCCTTAAAAAAAAATACATTCGAATGCTGTAAACTTATTGTAATTCTATTTCTATGTCTTAAACATATTTTAAATGTTATATTAACTGTTTCCAGAAAAATTTTCTGAACATAACAGATTAAAAATCATAATAGAACTCATTAAAAATAGAAGCTTAAGTGAATGTAATTTTGCCTTTATGTGTCTGACACTACAATTTAAACATACAATGAGCATTCTCATTCTATTGCAGAGGTAGCTTCTATAAAAGGGGAAGGAGTAGCCACAGCACAGTAATCCAGCACCATCACCTAACTCAATTTATATGGAGGCGCCTTGGATTATGAGTCACAGGATACCACAGACCAGACATCTTGATCAGGGAAAGGTCATTGTTAGGTGCTGATTTAACTGAGTTTATACATACCAAACTCAATAAAAGAATTTATTTAAAAATCTCATATCATTTTATACATAAAAAATTTATTTGGGATATCAAAAGGGATACTTATCTCATATTATTGCTATCCCCTAAATGACACCTATAAACTATTTAAACTATATAAATCTTTATATTATGTTAAGCCTCCCAGACATTCTAACTCAACCAATAAAATAAAATAAAAAAAAAACATGGTTAAAGAAACAAGATAATTCCAAATAAAATGTACAGTGAAGGCACCAAACCAGAGAGTAGAAAAATATGAAATGACAAAATAACTAAGGCAGTCTGCAATGCAATCTACATGAATATATTTCTATAAGCAAATGTGAAGAAGTAAAAGATAACAGAGATCAAAGAGGAATTAACATTTAAAAAAATAGGAGAATGAAAAAAGGCAGGGTTGAGGAAGTAACAGGATCTACTAGGGGAAAAACTATCAAGCAAATTTCTGAAGCATTTAATGTAGTAGAATGGATAGAAACAGTCATCTTAGAGTTATATCTCTCAAAAAAAGATTCTCTTTGAGTTCATTAAACCTTCAAATGGATAGGTAGTTAAGCAAGTTGCTAAAGTAGAAGAACAAAAGAATAGTTAGACTACTAAACAACAACAACAAAAAAGCATATGTCAAAAATGGATGATCAAAGTTAGAATATTTGATAAATGTTGTTTGTTTTGTTAAGAAGAATTACAAAGATAAAAGGTAGGCTTACACAATGTTCTACTGTAACTACTAAATGAATATGTTTACAAATGAATCTCCCATTATTAGAATAATAAAAAAGACAACAGAGGATAAATTCCCTAAAGGGAAGACAATTTGAGGGGCCTCAGCAGTCCTGCTTTGGGCCAGTTCTGTTTGTCTGGGTACGTACCAGGGGAGGATGGGTAACTCTGGTTTGTTTAATTGGAAATTATTTTAAACTACAGTTTTTCCCTTCCCTCTGTAGCACACTAATTGTATTAAAGTTGTTTTCCACTGAAGGTCATATGAACTAGAGGAGAGTATGTTTTGTCTTCAGTGGCATATTTGTAGGACCCTCTAAGAGAATCTTAGACAGGTTTGGGGGTCCTGAGATGCCCCTCATTCAGCCTGATAACCACATAATATTTAATATGTTATTTATTCTCTTCCTTTCATTGTTCACTAATGAAATAGGTAAAACAATATTAGCTGCACAGAGATTTGTGGTGATTTTAGAAGTCAATACATGTAAAACATAACAGTAACTAGCTCACAAAAAGCAAAAAATAACTTTTGTGCAGAGAGCTTCAAAATGTAATACTGCTTGGAGTTTTTATATTGATTTTTTTCTTCTATAATACTATTGTCTAGTCTAAATCAAAAACACTTTCCAGTCAATACTCTATAGAGAGCCGGGGAGGAAGGTAAAGGTACCATACCTCGTACAGGAATCTGCACATAGCATACCACGCATAGGTTGCACATACACAAAACACGTTAATAATCTGTTTTCTTTAAATTAAAACTTTTGCTTTGAACTGAGTTTCCTGCCCATTGATGCTCAAATGAGTGTCAGATGTTGACAACATCAAAAAGTAACCAAGAAGGCCAGGATGTACCAAGGTCAAGATAACAGGAGGCTGATAATGGAGATAAACATGATGAATACCAAAAACATCAACTATGATAGGCTGTTCTGATGAGCTATTTGCTAGTAACTGTCTGTCTAACTCATTATAGAAGGGCCAACTTGAGATGAATGGCAGAATGGTCTCTCCATTCTCAGATCAATGGCCATGGCAGAATTGTCTCTTAAGCATACTATGCCCACCATTCTCTTAGATAAGTGGCCAGTGATCTGAAAAATAAAAACATTTACACATTCAATGCCTGTCTCTGCTTATTGTCTTTTGGTGGACAGGCAGCAGAACCTAGGCCTATTCCCAATAACAAGTGTAGTAATTTACTCACTGGACTATGTCATACTGTCCAGGACCAGGCCATGTCTTTACAGGGAACTGCAATCTTCCCAAAGAATTGCCAAAATGTATTCCTTTGTATTTCAAAGTTGCACTGGAAAAATTCTTGGGAAAAAAAAAAGAAGATAAAATTGTAGTATAAATCATAAATTAATATTTAACATTACCTAGGTCTAGATCTAAAACAAGAATAGCATTAGTCAAAGGGGCTGGCTCATTGATGACTCCTCAGAAATCTCAGAGAGATTTCAAGCTAAATAATTACTTTTGTGTCCCATACCACCCCAGTGTTAGTATTCTCAGAGAAGTGCCCTAGTTTTGACATATCCTCAACCAATATGAACAACTTTGCTTTTGACAGTTCATTCAGCAACCTAAACATTAAGGGTAATGCAAATTAACTCTTCATAATTTAAAAATGGAAGGGAGGGGCTGAGTTGTAAGATGTAGGAAAAGGAAAATCTATTAAAGATGACATTTATTAAAGACAAATTAAGCTTATCTTAAGAAATTAGATTAAAATCCAAATAGCATCATAGAAATTAGATAACTACCTGATATTTAAAACTATAACATTTTCTGGGCCTCCATCATGGCTAAGGGATTAAAGACTCAGGGCTATCAAACTGCCATAATCAGTCATTAATGGCATGAGTTTGACCCCTTCCCCCCACCCCAGGGTGATCACCCACATGGTGCAACAGACCTCTCCTGTCTCACCTGGTTCTCCCTTCAGTAGTGTATTTCAGTAGTGTATTTCCACCTCATCTGCTCCCCACTCTATCTCGGGTGAATCCTCTCACCCTCCATTCCGCTAGCCTACATCCCAGTTCTTGATGTATAAGTAAAAATAAATACTAGAAAATAAAACTATAACATGTTCATATAAAATTTTCAAAGTGAAACAAATATGTAAAAATAAATTAAATTCTTCCCTCAGTTCATTTTTTTGTTAATGTTTGAGTTAGCATCAGACCTTACAAAAGAAAGTATATGTGACAAGAAAGCAACAATCATCATTTTTCTCATTCATTGCAACAAATGTCAAGTTAACTATGAAATGTTAAGTTCATTTTGGAGAACTTGCAACAGCTGGTTTTATTAGACATAATAATGTATAACAAGAAGTTTCTCTTACAGGGATTCTCTTAAGTTGGCCTAATACATTCTTTGTGAGCAAATGAGCAATTATTTAAACTTTAAATAAAACTTTATTTTAAACTTTTTTTTTAAAAGATTTTATTTATGTACTCATACAGAACTGGGGTACAGCCCAGAGATGCAGAGGGTGAGAAGATATACCAGAGACAGAGTGGGGTGCAGAACAGGCAGATTGACGAAGTACACTGCTGAGGGTAGCAGTGGGCCAGTCAGGAGAGGTCTGCCGCGCCATGTGGATCTCCTCTAGGGCAGGTGGGGATCGAACTCATGCGGAAGTGGCTAAAGCTTCTTTGTGCTGTGCTTTAACCCGCTGCACCATCAGGGAGGGCCTAAACTTATTTTTAATTGATAGTATAAGATAAATTTCTGTCTGTTGAACTCAAATTTTAATTCACATTTGTAAAAAATAGTTTTGAAATTAATTTAGAATAAAATAACTAATATATATTTTGAAGTAAATCACCACACCATATAGTTTAATTGCATAGACCAGTGTGTCAATTATTCTAGATGACTGTTACTATTCTGGAATATTGTAAAAAAAAACACCTAACAATGTTTAACATTAAATAAATAAGTAGAAATAGTAAGTTTCTATAAAGCATGATTCTAATTTAAAATAGTGACTCAAACCAGTATCTCACTCCCACAAAATTTTCAATATAAGTATATAAAGTAAACTTAAATAGTTACAGCTAGAAACTCAGATGGTAACATCTACATGTCAGAAACTTAAAGGCACTTCTAGAGAAAAAAATCACAGTACAGAACTAGAAAAAGACCTCAATGAGTGAAAAAAAAAAGTCTCAAGTTGAACCCTTTAGTCATTGGAGAAAAGGATAGATAGTAAATAGAAACCAAATCTCAAAACTACTAATACCCTTGGTTAGTTGCACCAATGTTATTACATAACATGAAGTGAAAGAATATTAATACTCTCTTTATTCTTGCGATGGATTGTTTGAAAAAAATTGGAAGAATTGCCATTTCTTCCTTATGAGTTGTAAAGACACCATTTCTTCTAGTTAGTAGCACCACTCCATAAGCATTAGAATGCCACAACAAAGTCACAAAAAAAAGCTGATATAGCACTGAAATTCTACCATGGAATACTTTTTTTCCCTAGAACTTATTACTAGCCCTCACTAGCCTTTCTAGAATTGACAACTAGCCTTCAGGTGTTGTAGAATAAAATACAATGTACTAAGCTTTCCCTTCTTCACCCACCCATGGTAAAGAATTAAATAGGGACCAACACATTCTTTGACCAAATTTTGCTGATTGCATGAAGTAAAATGAGACATTTGTAACTATTTTTTAAAAGATGTGATGTCACTAAGAAATTGGATTATAGTTTTTCTCAAAAATTCACGGTTTAATTTCAGTAAGTATCATTGGTTTTTTGTTGTTTGTGGTGGTGGAGGATGTTAAAGTTAATTTCCAGGGAGTTACCAGCACATTGAAGCAAGGTGAAATAGGATTCAGGCACATTTTGGACCTCTGGAAACTAACAGTTCAAAGTAATCAAAAGGTGAAAAGTAGTCATACAAAAGTTAATCATGATGAAACTCACCCCTTAAGAAAATTTTGGTGTCAAAAGAGTTCAATACAAAATACTATTTTCTGTTGAGTTTGCCAAAGATTGTCCCCACTGAATGTATTCTTGTAACCAGAGAGTACAAAAGAAACATGATGAATAAAAAAGAAAAACCTAAAAATCTGTTTAATTAAAACACTGGTTTAAAGAATAAATAAATAAGAGCCTTCTCTGGTGGCTCAATGGGTTCAGATGCAGCACTGCAAGCTAGCCGCAGTTCTTTCTCTTCAAACTCGATCCCCCCACCCGGAGGTGATCCACATGGTGCAGTAGACCTTTCCTGACCCGCCCGCAGGTTACCGCAGCAGTGTGCTTCTTCCATCTGCCTGTTCTGCTCCCTGCTCTTCCTCTGGTGAAGACTCTCACCGCTCCTGCACCTCTGATTTATATCCCAGTTCTGTATGAATAAATAAATCTTAAAAAAAAAGGGGGGGGCTATTTTTGGACCTAATGTATCTGAACACAGGGAAAAAAAAAAAAGAGCATCTCAGCTCTTTAGCTCTGTAGCATTAGCGGTGATCAACTACAAGGGGAAAAGCCAAGGAGTGAGCACCATCTAGCGGGAGACTGAAGTAGCTGTTGGAGCAGCAGCTATCTCATTGGAAACAAACTTGCTCTGAAATATGGTTGAGATAGCTTTTAAAGGCTTCCAGAAACTCCTGGAAAGGGAACCTTTGCAGAAGGCCAGAGATGCTCTACATACACAGGTAGAGACAAGATAAATATATTTGAGTTATTAACATAATTGTGACTTTTTGGCAGCCATTATCCAACAAATATGGGGGATCTTGTTATGTAAATAAAAATAATTAATCCATGTTACCACTAACAATATTCCCAGTACTGTGGTTTTCAATGTGTTTGGGTTACTGAGATGTAACATCCCTTTTATTATGGCATAAATAACAGCAAGGTATACTACCCTCTTCACTTTGGACATTCAGGTCCAACATACATGATGTTATAACAGTATAAGGCATGATATAAAAGCAAGATATCATCACCATAAGTAGGTAGATTAGTTGATACATGATTTCAAAATTCAACCTCTGTAAATCCTATAAGGAATAGAACCATGAATAAAAATGGAAAGACCTATTTCATCAATCCTAATAGTACAGAGTATATCCACTGACTTGACATTCTTAACTATAATACAAAACTAAATATGGCAATCAGATAACACAAAGGTTTTGGGTCCAACGGTGCAAAGACAAACACTTTAATACTAGCAGATTAGCACAGAAAATTGAGCCTCACATTACCAGCAGTGCACCAGATGCTAGTAGAAACCATGACATCTTCTAAGAATTGAAAGCAGTCTATTCCTTTGAGTCAGTAACAACACCAAATATTGCTATAATTTGCAGCACTTCAGGAAAACAGAAAGTGTTGAGCCACACTTCCTTTTGCTAAAATAACTACACCATCATTTCAATATAATTACTTAAATGTACATATTCATTTTTATGGCAAAATAATTAGAACTCTAATATTACTATGTTAGATAAATAATTTTATCTATTTTAGGCAAGAGCATATCTAATTTATAGATTTATGATAGCCTAAACTTTTTTTAAAAGCATTGTTTTAATGTAGAACGTTTTGATAAAACTATTTTACATCATAATTTTATAATCTAAAAAAATGTGCTACAGTTTTATATTGATTTTAACACAGTAATTTGGGACAAAATTATGTTCAAGGAATTTTGTTCAGGCTAATTTACATTATTGAAATTTTGTGATTCAAATGTTTAACAATTGTAAGAAGACAGTCCAGAAGAAACAAAGATGACACACATACATAGACACACCAATCTCTTAGCAAAATCTTTTTACTGTACAACACTAAAAAAATCTTCATTTATATTTATGTATGTGATAGAATTGTCAACGTAATGTTATTTTTTAGATAACAGTCAAACCAAATGTGTATGAAGTGATTCAATGCAAAACAATCACAGTTATGATTTTCAATTCCCTAATTGTTAATCATGTTGAGAATCATTTCATTAACTTATTGTCCATTTGTTATTTTCCTCCCCTCCCCAGACCCACCATCATCCCTTATAATGCTTCCCCTTAAGTCTCTTTTTCTTACCTCTTAACCTCAGAAGCATTATTCCATTTATTAGTATCTGTTAGTTTTTATAATTATTTTGCTTTGTTGAATCATCCTATATAAACATTCAGTATTTGTCTTTGTCATTTTGCCTTGCCTTATATCACATGATGCCTGAATACTTTCCATTATCCAATAAATTGTACCATTTTACTTCTTTACTTATGGTTGAATTTTATCCTATAATACAGATATACTACACATCTTAATCCAAACTTCTATA